TTAAAGTGATTCCTGTGCATTATGCAACAACTATGAACGAGAAGATGCATAACTAACAAAAGAAGAATGGAAACATTCCTTTTGGTAAAATTAGACATTGGAAATAGAGCAATATCTCAATGTTTCTTTGCATGCTGAGAGGCATATGGAATTTAACTGACCATAAAGATGTTCAATAACCAGAATTTGACAGTCTTCAAACTGAACATAACCTACCATGAGATGCCATTTTTATGCTTGCCTTTTATTAGACATAATGCATCTCTGTTTTGGTCTGTGATTCAGTTTGACCAACTTTCTGTACTGAAACGTATTTAATAAATATTAACATCTCTAAATAGTAAAGCGAAAAATATATTTTTAGAATGGCCTTTTCTACCCCAGTTGCTACGGAAGCGACGTAGAAAGTGTGATTGGTGACATATTTGTTTATAAGGAGCAAGACTGTTGACTTTTTCTACGTTAGATTCTATGTTTTGATCATAACATTCTGAAAATTATTTTCTGAAGTTTTCTAACTCGAGTCAACATTTTTTCATGTTATTTTCACACAATTTTTACATGAAGATTTCATTTTTAAAATTTAAATTATGAAAGTCCGACTCGTTTTCTTCAACTCCCAAGGCCAAACATGAACTCATGTATTCATAACAATTTCATTAATTATCAATGCTCCCAATATGCTTTTAACATTTTCCCACACAATTTTGCGTTCTAAAGCCATTGGAATTCTTAGATTCCTCAAAACTCAACACCTTCTAGCTGAAACAAGGCTGGCCGAAACAGGGCAAGGAAGAAAAATTGAGTTACATTTTATTGCCACCAAAAACAATCTAGGGGCCTTTCAACATGTCTTAGGTGTGATTCTATAATGTAATTAAAACACTTAACCCACATTAAAGTACCCTAAGACAGTGAGTAATTTCCCGGTCTTAGAGTCATAAATAAAGTTCAAATTCAAATCTTCAAGTATTCATTCACATACAAAAGATATTTTTGCCATCACAGACAATTAATTACCACTTGTACCTTTTAATCTCTTAGCATTTGAACACTTAAAACATTTTCTGGAGATTTGTACAGCTTTATACTTTTTTCTGGAAAATTTACCAGATCTAAAATTGCGTCCCGATTTAAATTTAGCAACATTAATCATCATACCTTATACCAACACCATATAAGATATCTCTAGCCCTTAATATAAGAACTAGTTAACTAATTCAAGTAAATTAAGAAAATTAGTTAAATTAGTTATTAGTAATAAATAGGTATTGTCTTTCTTAAAATACTCTTGCTAATCATATGTATTAACTAGAACTATCATTTCATGAAACCTTTAACATGTGCAACTACAAGAAGAATTACCTTAGAAAAAAATGATTAAATATGAAAGACAAATAGATTGAGATCTTAATATCAGAGGTAATATATAACCATTAACTTCTAGGTGCCGTTGTATCCTTAAAAATTCGGACAGCACCGTTATTAAACCTTTAAAATTTCCAGCTTCACTAATAGCATATAAATCATCATTTTAGTATCTCTAAGCATGTTTTAATCATCTATAATAATTATTCATTTCCTATTAGCCTTAGTCTTTTATACATTTTCAGCTTCAAAAGCCAAAGAGTCAAGCCTCCAGATCAACACACATACATCTCGCATTCACAAACATACGATCATCCTGTAACATAATCTTTACCCATGCCTAGTGTTGTCCCAAATTATAATCTGGAAATTTCCATATTTTTGAAAGTGAAAATAATCTCCCCCGAAGCAAAATCAACAAGCACTATATTCACATCTACGCTCATGCCGCACTATAAATCACTTACGAAAACTTAAATATATGACTAACTATTGGGTTATAACTAGTTCAACCTTGGTAGATTAGGGCCCAAAAGTGGGGCTGATATATGAACAAGGATAGAACACACACACGCACGCGCGTGCAGAGAGAGAGAGTGTTTTACCCGTATGATTTAAAATTCAAATCCTAATATGCACCAAAATTTTTTGGGAGAATTGCCAGGAAGTCCCAAAAAAAAAAACTTAAATTACTAAAAAATTCCAATAACAAGTGACCGGTCTAAATCTATTATTATTTCTTCCTCTGAAACCTATTATTGCTTATTCTTCACTTGTCTTTTAATGTAATTAAATCTCATTCTTGAGACTTGTAATTCTCTCAGATTTTTTCAAACCCTAATAACTGCCCTTGCATGAGACATGGAGCACATATGTTTAATGGAGTCCTTTTTGGATATATTAAAGAATAACTCCCATGTAACTTCCCTTACTCCTCTCTTTCATGCGGTCTATTTGTCGTATATAACCATACAGTATCACCTGGCAGCCTGGGCATACTGTATTACTCATCGGATTCTAGGTACGTCCGAAATTCTTCACCAGTTATGTTCATTTCACTTGCACGCACCTTCATTTTCTCTCTCTAGAATGAGATTTTAAACATCCTCTTCCTCCCCTAAAGACGCTTGATGGAAGAAATAATGGGGGTCTACGAATGAGAAGAAGAAGCCCCATCTTGTTAAGTGGGAGCAGGTTTGCCAACCAAAGGAAAATGGGGGTTTAGGCATACGGAGGATGAGTCAGAATAATGAAGCTTTTCTTATGAAGCTCGGGTGGGGAATATTGATTGGGAGAATGATTAGGAAACTTACCCAAGCCTTTTAATCAGTTTGCATTTAGGTGTTCATCTCCTTTCCTTCCTCTTCTTCTGCTTCTTCCTTACTAAACTAGAAAACTTTGATGCTGGGATGAACTAAATGAGGTCCGAAGGGGTGAGGACGTGGCTGAAGATTTGGTAAGCATGCGTAAGAAGAAGCGATTTTTTAGTGTTGCAAAAATTAATGAGTTGACGATTCTACTCTCTATCAGTACAAAAACTCCCAAATAAATCTCAGGAGTTAATCTGGGGTACTTTATACAGATTTTCTTTCCCTTATTTAGCTTATATACTTTATAAAATAATTTTCTCAAACTTTTCTCAGACCAAACTATAACTATTTTTCATTATCTTTACAAGAAAAGAGGTTCTTGATTCTAAAAAAATAGATTTAAAATTATGTAGGATATTTTCGGAGAACTAAACTGCTTCATAAATTTTTTTTAAATCCCAAAATAATATTCATAATATTTTATCAATTTTTATGTGCCGTGATATAATTTTAAAAAAATATTCCTAGCTTCGAAATCTCTTTCAATGTTTTTCTCTAATTTCATCCAATAGTTTTCATTATTTATATTATTACCTCTGAACTTACTATGGCTTTTTTACTTTTGGCCCAACTTATTTAACCAGTACTTTAAAGTAAAATATAAGGGGGAAAATAGAGAATATAGGAAATCTGTTTATAGTTTTATTATTTATATGTTTGCCTCTGAATTGACTATATTTTCTACTTTTGGCCCCACTTATTTAACCAGTACTCCAGAGTAAAATATAGGAATAAGGCTAAATAGGGAAAAAAAAATAGAGGAAATGAGAAAAGCACGCTCGGAGGGAAAATTCTCAAATATTTTTTTTGACTATTTTTGGAAATTTTTCTTCTTAATATTCTCTCCCATATTTATAATATTTAAATAACCCATCTTAGAAGGGATGACTGGTTAGTGACAACTATAAAAGGATCATTTTATTATTCTCTTCGATAAGCTATTTGTTTTCCCTTTTAAAAACTTTGAAGTACTAGCAAATCAACAGAGGATCTCAGGTCAAACAGAGCAGTCCATAAATTACATCACATCATTCTTTTTCATTCAATTTCTACAATCCTTTAGCGCATCGATTTTTCCAACATTTAAAAGACTTAACACTGAATTGGATATATGATTCAGTGATTCACCAATTCATTCAATTGTTATGCGTAAAATCATGTGTCCAACATTTAGTACCCCAACAAATTAAGAATAAAAATAAAATTACTCCACCATTTGCTGTGTGTTTGGTTTGTACGGGATTGGTGCAACTTTTCCTTGTTTGAGACTGATTTCGTTAGACCTGTGGATCCTGTTCTTACCATTTTGAGATATGTTGGGGACATCAAAGAAGCTTTCGTGATGAAGGAAAAGGGAAGGAGGGACATCGGGGTGAAAGCCAAATGGGAAAAACCGAGAGAGGGCTGGCTTAAATTAAATTTTGATGTTGCAGTAGAAAGAGGAGAAAGAAGAGCTGGATGTGGGGGAGTTATCCGTGACCATAATGGGCAATGAATGCGCGGGTTCTGGAGAAGATTAGGGCGATGTGAAGGGGAGGAGGCAGAACTTTGGGGCCTATTGTCTGGAATTTTACTGCTCGAACAGGTTCACAGTAGAAGAATAGTGATTGAATCAGACTCCAAGATCATTATTGAGAAGCTAGAAAAGTGTTTGTTTAGAGGGAAGGAGAGAACAGATTTTTGGCTCGAGTATGCTTCGTACTTGAGGATGGGTGGGAAGTTGAATTGAGAAATGTTTAGGGAGAGGGAAACTGTGTGGCTGACTGGCTTGCAGAAGGGAGCTTCCTTCAAACCAATTCCGTCCAACTGCTTGAGGAACGGCCCAATGGTTTGATCAGCTGGTTGCACAGGGATATTGCTGGGCCGAGTGTGTTCAGAACTCAGAAGTGTTATCTTCTAGTTTGTTTTCGTTTGGGCTTTAGCCCCATTACTGATCCAAAAAAAAACTCAGAATTGAAGACTAACTTACATCTTCAAACAACGTATCTCCAGAAAGGACTCTATGATTATGAACAACCACACATCACAATATCACACCTCATCCCCTAATGTATCAATTTTTAGCAACATCAAACAGCTTTGCAAAGAAGAGACCCTAAATTGAGGTCTATGATTCACCAATATATATAATTCAATTTAACACAAGTAAAAGCTGCTCAGAAAATTTTGAGCATATAACATAAGTCTTTGAAAAATATCCATGTAGTACCTCCAAATTAAATGACTTTCTTAAGATTATTTCAACCAAAAAAATAATAATAATCACACCCTATCAGCAAGAGGAGCAAGTTCTGCCGCACTAGAAGCATCGAAATTCTCAGAAATCTCATGATGACTAATCCATAAAACTGCATGAAGCAAAACAAGAGGCACAGAACATGCTAAAGTCACACCTAGATGAATCCCTGCTCCTGTCACGATAAGTTGAACCATTGTGGCAATTGCAAGTAGAGACAAAACAAACCTTTTGTCTATAACTCTATGAAGGACATAAGAACTAGGGTATGCCCTTAGTAGTAGCAAGTACAACGTTGTCACATAGCTCATGATAACCAGAAGAATCAGAGAAACCTTGCGTTGAGGGATTAGGGTTATAAAGAGTATGATCCATACAAATAGTGTGTAATATAACCCTAAATTCCCCAAGTTTCGGATGACGCGGAGAGCTGCAGATTCTGGGGTTAAAGGAATGCTGAAAGGACAGTAAAAGTTTAACGTGAACTGCTTTTCATGAGGTGCTTTTGGTTCACAGGGTTGATCGTCGGATGAAAGCGGAGGTGATGATGTGGGGATTCTCTGGTTTGCTCCAACAGTTGCCATGATATGGTAATTGGATTAGACTTGGGTTATCTCCAAAGAGGGAAACTTGAAAAGCAAAATAAGATATGGATTTCTCTGTAATTGTTTGATTTGGATCAAGCTCGTTTAAATTTATAACATGACGAGGAAAGAAAATTATTCTGTTTTTGCTATGAATATTCCTGGGGGAAGACTTTGAAGACCTCGATGAAAGACTTGGTCAAGTCAAGAATCACGGATACGTATCATTTGCGTTGTAGAATTTAACACAACTACTTCTATGGATGTGATCATTGATTAGAAGAAGTACTATTGAAGATTCAACTTAAAACAGGAAATCAGTTCGGAGGATCCAAGAATTCAAAACATAATAATAATAAAACTTGAACGAAATTTAGGACTTACCGATTTTTAATCATAAAATATTTAAAAATAAATATTCTCTACTTATGGTTCTCAGTCATGATTTTCTGTTCGGGCACCCAAAAAACAAAAATTTATAATTTTATGAAATATACAATTTTTTTAATTTAGGTACATATAGCAATGTTTGGAAAACCGGACCGGATCTGCTGATTCAAGCTGGAAACCAATCAACCGGCCATTAGTCCAGTCCGATTTAGTGGATAAACTGGGAGGAAACTGACTCAGTATGGATCAGAATGAACCGGCTACAACCCGCGTAACCCGCCAAGTTCAAGGGTTATCCGAGTCGTCTTTTGAAAAAATCCAAATGCCAAAAAATCACAGACTGATGAGGGAGGCTGAAGAAGAAGGGGGGTTTGAAGACGAAGAGAATATGAAACTTAAATCTCTTTCTAAGATCTAGATCAGATCTCAGGAGTAGCCAAGAAATCTTCAGGACAAGTAAGAAATTGAAAAGAAAATGTGGAGAAAAACCCGGGACTTAGATGATTTCATGTGAAGGGACTTGGGAGACGCCAGAGATGATGGAGGGAGAAGAAGAAAGGTCGAAAGGGAGGCGACGGTGGAGATTAATCAGAGACGGTGGCCTTTGGGGTGATGGTGACGCTCGCTTGTTGATCCGTCGACACTGTCTCAGTATCAAGGCATGAGAAAATTAGAGAGGATTGAAATCAAAATGGTAAAAAAGAAAAGAACCTAGAAGGTCCCCTATTAGCCAAAAAAACGAAAAAGAAGACGGAAGAGTGAAACTAGAGTAATGTTGGGTACATTGGTTCACCTTCCTATCAAATGAAATAAAATAAAAACACACACAAATCGAGATTGCACATCAGACCATGGAAAAAAAACCGAACCGGACCGGCCGGTTCAACCGGTGAACCGGTGAATCGGCCTGTTGTCCGGTCCGGATTAAGGCAAGAACCAGCTAGGGTTTAAACCAGTGGTAAACCGGTTGAGCCGGTATGAATCAGTGTAAAACTGGGTAAACCGCCAGTTTAGGTGGTTTAGCCGGTTCAAAGCATTGCTTAGCTATAGGTCACGTGTTTCCAGATTGAAGATGATGAACAGTTGCTCTTCTTCAAACTGATAATCGATGGTGTCTCTCTCTTTTCAGATAAGAAAATCACCGCACCCAATCTTTCCTCTCCAGCTCCGTCATCAACCTCGTCCTCCAAGATCTGCCAAAGACGATGATCCTTCTCCAGCCCTTTCTCTTCGAACCAGCTCGGCGTCTCTCCTCGCAGAACCAGTCGTCGTTTTTCCCCAAGTCCAGTGAAGAAGAAGATCATACAGAACTGTGTCGGCCCCTTTCTTCCCTCCGAACTAGCGCCCCCTCCACACCGAAAATGATTATGAATAGTAACCCTTTCAAAACCCTTCACACCGCCAGTCACAAACGCTGTCGTTCCTTCTAAAGTCCAAACTTCATTTTCCTCGGCCAAAAAAATGATGATTTTGATTTTCTGTAATGATGAAGATATATATTTGTTAATGTTAGTTTGGTACAATTAAATGTTTAAATCACTTTGGTTGTTTTTTGTATTTTGTTGAATGGTTATTACTGAGGAATGTTATTTTTATTTTGTCATTGCCAATTAAATTATATTATTTTAATATGACCCCGGTCTGACCCCGATCTGACCCATTGACCCTTAACCCACCAGTTAGACCGGTTTAGTATCCGGTCCGATTTTTTGTTCATTGCATCAGACAGACAGACAATGCAAACCATTAATAAAACACTTTCGTACTAGCCTCTTGTTTTTGTTGGAGTTGGTTCACGTCTCTTCAATGAGACATGACTATTCTGCCCCACAACAGTCCCGTGCATATGGGCATATTTTAAATTTAATTAAAAATCTTTGATTATTTATATTCAAATATTAATATTTTTAATTAATTATATTATTTTATTAATGACCGGTCTGACCTCGATTTGACGTTGGTTTAACCTACCAATTTGATTTTTAGTACCTTGACATGTAGCATATTCAATTTAGAGTACTATTTTTAATTATATATATATATGAGTTAAATGAATAATTTATAGAAACTAAAAGTAATCAATTAAAAATTAGTTATTTGTAAACTGTGTGTTTTTCAACCCCCTGAAATACATGTATACTCATTTGTATTGAAAACTACTCATATTGATAGAAATCCCTATTTAATATGTGTAATCAATAAGAGTAGTCAAGAGTGTGTTTGGCTCAATAGAAGGATGGGAGGGGAAGGATTTTAATGGAAGGAAAAGAGATGAAAGGAAAAAAAATTTAATATTACCTTGTTTGGATTCATAAAAAGAGAGCAGAAGGGAGGAGAGGAATTTTTAATGTTATCTTGTTTGGTTTAGGAAGGGAAGTAAGGCAAAATATTTTTGTATGGGCAACTTTGCTCTTATATTATTTTTTATGTTGATTTTTACAAACTTTATAGAATAATTAATAAAAAAAATTTAATATATGAGATTAATTTTTTATGATTAGCAGAATTAAATAAATATAATGATAATACATAATTAATAGCTTCTATATATATATATATATCTAATAACTATAATTATATTTATATTCAAAATCTAGTCTAATGAAGTAAATATGTTTAATTTGAATATGTTTTTTTCAGCTCTTATTTTCTTCTTTGTTGTTGGTATGAGTAGCCAAATAATCTTTTCAAAGATGACATAGATGAGTTATTTGTATGTTTTTGTTTTAAGTGCTTGATTTGTGTTTGGAAGTTAAAATATATTTGATAGGAACTTTTTTTTAATATATATATTTGATGGCATATAAATGAGGAAAGAGAGGTATGATTGAATCCACAAGGATACCAAATTACATACAATTCGACGTTGAAGGTAACATAGGATTGTTAGAAAATAATATGGGTATATTAGTAAATACAAGCCAAAAGATTACTTTTTCCCTCCAAATTTTTTCAATTTTGGAGGGGAGGGAAAATATTAAAAATTTTTCCCTCCCCTCCTAAAATTTTTATTTTACTAAATAAGGAAAAATAATCAAAATCCTTCCTCTTTCCTCTCATTCCCATCAAATCCTTCGTACCAAACGCACTATAAGAAAGAAATTATAAATTTAGAAGATTAAAATAGATCGATATCTTATATTTATAATTAAAACCCAAATTATATTCTTACTATTCTGTCAGGGTCTATTTAGTATGAGGAAAATGGGAGAGGTGGGGAATAAAGGGTAAATTATAATGGATTTGATTTGAAAAATAAAAAGGTGAGATCAAGAGCTTTAATTTCAATTAATTTTTCTTATATAATGGGTTTGATTTAAAAAAATTAAAAAGGTGAGATTAAAGTTTTAATTTCAATTAATTTTTTTACTCTTTTATCTTACATCTTATCTTTATTAAAATTTTATAACCCACTTTTCTAATTTTTTAAATCAAACCCAGTGAAATTTTTCTTCTCCCTCTTGTTGTCTGTTTCCCTCCTACCAAATATAGCGTTAGTAGAATGTGCTAACAATATATCAATTACAAAGAAAAAATTCATAAATTTCTTTCGTTGACTGACTTGTGGAGAATGGTCATCAAAGTCAAAGGGAGGATCTGTCACAATTGAAATTAATATTGGAAACTGCTGTTCAATTAAATAATTCCATGAAATTTCTCACGTTGACCTGACTGACTTATGAAGTAAGCCTACTGAATAGGAACCGATCGTGGAGGGGAATTAAGGAGAAACTTCTTTAGGTTGCGGGGCAATTTTTGCCATGGCCATTTATTAAAAAATAATTCCAAATTTTTTCTTCAAAAATAATTCCACTATTTTAAGTAGGAGAAAGGCTTTTTTCCTTCATGCAATACAACATATTGATCTTTGAAACTTCGTGGACTAGTAAAAAAAAAAAAAAGTTAAAGTGCAAATTTACTCAAAGTTTTAATTTAGAAGCACTAAGCACCTAGAAATTGTTTAGGAACAAATTTGCTCTAAAAATTTAAAATCATACTAATATTGCCCCTATTACCGTTAAAAATGTTAATGTTTGATTTCACTATTTTAATATTAAAATTAATCTTTTAATAATAGGAGGCAATGACCAACAGGGGTTGGGTTCAGTAAAAAGAGCTAGTTTCTTACAACGTGGTAAACTAAGGTTCGCATCCTTGCTAAGAGAGATACTTACATTTAATACCCAATAGTGTCTCAAATAAGATTATCTCTAATAAGAAGGTATCTACACATAGCAAAAAAAAAAATCACTAGGAAGCAATATTGCTACTATTTTAAACTTTTTGAAATTTATATCCCAAAAAAATTTCAAATACCCAACGTTCTAAGTGAAAAACTTCGCACCAAATTTGTACCTTAACTCAAAAGATTACTTCAAATTGACTCCCTTTTTGGATTAAAAAAATGAATTAACATTGACAGAGTTGTGTTTCACAGCCTTTGTCAAACTAATACAGTGATTAAATTTATTGTGATTATTTTTTTGGAGAATAAATTTTAGAAAAAAATTGATGTATTTGGATGACATTTTTTTAAAAAAAATTGTTAATGATAAAATTTAAAATATTCCAATACTGTTATCAAAATCACTTTTTCGTATGTAAATTAT